CCACCGCCAGATACCCCCCGGGTACTGCTACTCGTTCCCAGGATCATGTTCAGAAACTGTAAGAAAACTGTAAAAAAATAATTAGAATCTATTGTTAAAACTGTAGAGATTTTTAATTAACAAATTTCAAAGTATAAATTTATACCTACATTGTTTGCTCGTGGAGCATCGCCAAATAATCCTCTTCGGTGATGCACTGACTCTAATTCCGGTAACGAGGAGTTTAAATTTCAAATTGAAAAAATAATTAATTTTATTAGAAAGTATTAAATTAGATTACCGCGACCGAAGATCGAAATCGGCGAACAAATGATTCTATTATCGCGATTCAGAAAACAGGAAGAGCCACGATGCTCTGGAAATAATTTAATACCGCGTAAGAAACACTGCTTCTATTCTCGCGTTTGTCTAACACCGTGAACGATAACGTGCTCGGGGTCACTTTGCCCCGAGAAACAAACTTGTTGCTACGCACAATCACTGAATCTACCGGCCGCATTGCGCTCGGCCAACAAATTTCCTGGAAAGAAAAGAGCTGAAAGAAAAGGGACAGGAGACAAGAAACACAACAAGCACGCCTGTGCTTTTCCTACTGGTTTTCTTTTTTCTTCTTACAAGAGTTCGTCAACAGAAATACCGCTTTACTTAGTACTACTGTATGCATAGTTTACCACGTAAAAATTCAATGCCACGAAGGCGAAATATTCTCAATCAATGAGAATTTCAACGATAAAACATTATCTACGAAAATAATTACGTACAAGTAATTATTCAATTTATAAATATTATATCACTAAGTTTCATAGTTAGAGTTGTAAGCATGATTATGTTTACTTTCTCGAACGTTAGAATATCCCGTAATTTTTATAAATATTCCGAAATTTGCAAGAATTAAAGTTCGTTAATTATTTATGCTTTAATAGCATATTCCAACTACGTGGTGTCTACGTTTTCTTAAACTTGCATCGAAATATATATGCAAATTGCAATTACAACAATTCATAAAGAAATATAAACAATCAATTAAATAAATAACAGTCGGAAATATTTAATCGCGATCGGAATACAGTCTAATATAAACTATTCCAATTTAACGTTAATATCTACCGACGCCATTTCTGTATACTTCGATATATATCGAAGTAGACAAAAAGTTTGTTAACGACTTTAATATTTTATCTTAACAATGACCGATTACAAAATTAAGATCATGCTTGCAACAAATAACGTGATAAAGCAATAAAAATGTATAAATATTAACCTGGATGGTAATTTTTGTTATAATTCTTTAAACGTTACCAATACTCCCTCCAGAATTTCTCGACTCGTCTGCCATCTGTTATGGCGTCCTTTACGCGCCAATAAAATTTTCCATGGCGTCGAATTTCAATCAGGGACTGCAACAGAAATAAAATACAAATTAAATCATAATTAAACAATAATTGATAATAATGAGGAAATATCAAGAGGTTAGAAGAAATACGTACATCGTTGGTCGCGATACGCCGATACGTCTTGTATTTCGTAAAGGAATTTCTTGATTTCGAATTCCAATAAGAGACTGTAACAGAAACGAAATAAAGATCCATTAAAGTACATAAACGATTATTATAATTAAGCAATGATTAAATCTAAACCGTATTGCAAGAGATGGTAAGTAAAACGCGAGTAGTAATAATGACGAAATACGAATAGGTTAGAATTACGCACCTCGGTACGTCTCGACACGTCTTGCTATGTTTATTTACAAAGGTTGAATGATGGCCGTCCGCTGTGCTCGGTAACGCTCGCGAATTAGGTGGCGGGGTAGGGGAAGGGCCGACGTTTCGCGAAGCTTGTTTACGAACCCGAGGGATGCCTCAGGTAGAAACCGCGGATACAAGAAATAGAACGAACACTTACTAAACAGCGTAAATACCCTGACTTTAGAATCATATTCATGGATGGCGTATAATTACAAATTAAATATAACACACACCTTTGTCGATTTGGAGTAGCAGATGACAAGACTCTTGAATTTGTTAACATTATTCACTTCGATGGTTACATGCAAATTATTTACAACTTTAACTAGATAAAGAAACGCATATAAGTCGCAGTCGCACTCATATGTATTTACAGACAACACAGCTGTTTGCCAATCAACGCTAATTCAATGAATAGTTTCTCAACTGACCGCCATCCATGGGAAGAGGGCGTTGACAATCACCTCCGAATGTCGAGGTCGGTATGGCAGTTAGATTGGGTCACGAAAGACCATAAGGTGTAAGCTGTCTACTCGTATACCTCGTCTGTGATAACACATTACATATATTAGTAATTCCTGAAATAAAAGAATTCTGTACGAACTTATTTCAACGTTACTAAAAAGAATGAAACAATTTATGAACTACCGTGTAGAGAATCTTACGAACTATATTCGATAGAAGTTCAAGGAAGATTAAGAAGGTCCATAGAAAATCAACAGCATAAGCGACCTTAAACATGCATATACTTTGAAAATTAATTTTTATCTAATGCCTACTAATGTTATCTTTGATTTGATAAACACGCTTGTTTTTAAATAGGGAAATCTCTTTCCCCTCGATCGGCAATGTGTTGAGAGGCGAAAGTTGAAAAATTTACTTTTGCCAGAAATTGCCTCTTCTCATCGTCGTGTCTTTCGTTTCTTTGTGAAATCGAAACGAAGACACCAGGCTCGACGAGGTGAAAGGGGCCCGAGCGTGCTATGACGTATAGCGTTGATAAAAAAAAAAAAAGAAAAGGATAGCGCGAGCTGCTGGAGAAGAAGGAGGGCGAACATTGAGATGGAGTGGTAAAGAAGGTTGAAAGGAGAGAGGATCCAAGAACGAGTGGAAACGCGATCGGGACGTCGTGACTCAGGTGGGGAGTACGATGTGGTAAGAGATAGAAGGGAGGGGCTTAACGGTAAAGTCGGTGTAACCTTATAGCAGTGTTTTTAAACCTTTTTTTTTCTTTGGTACCACCCTGACGTACCGATATCCCTTTGCGGTGCCCTCGTTCACGCGACTGGGGGTGTTTTTTCACTCTAGATTCGCGGACGTAGACTTCATCGTTTGTCGATTCTCGACATTGAATCGTTTTCCTAATAGCTTGTAATGCAGAGTTGTCAACTCAAATAATATTCGAGAAGGGATACAAAGAACTATATCGTAATCGTTGTACTTCGTTTAAACGAATAAAGAATTCTGAAAAGTTTCTCGACGCGTGAATGTTTATTATTATATATTTACTTTCCAAGCGTTAAAAAATAGCAAATGTACAGGAACGCTATGAAAGCAGCGTATCTAGATTTGGATTACGAAGCGAATTATTGTCTATAAATCCGTCACAGTTAAGCAGGACGGTAGTTTAGTCAGCGACACTAATGAGGAGGAAAATGCGCTTTCAACACGCTCCTTTTTCTGTCGCGTAACCGGCGAGAACGCAAAGAGAACCTCAGAGAGGCCAGATCACTGATTTCGCCGTCTCTGACCACGACAGCTGATTTTTCGGAAAAGAACGAACCAACTGGACGAGAGCAGCTGACGTAGAACTCGACCGTTTCACCCTCCTGATCAAACAGACGATAGCTTACAATGAAGAGATACCTTTGAAAGTTCGATTTTTAATGGTTTTGTCGTTGTACGCGCCAGTTATGCACAAGGAAACGATTCGCCAAATTAATCGTTCCCTTTACGGAACGATTCCGCAAATGCGCAACTTCTGTAACAGTGTCCGAGTAAAAGTTCTCGTGCGGCTACTTGGTCGAATGCTAGCTGTCTTACCTTGGAAACGTTACGGATATGCGTACGGTATATACAAGTACACCGTGCGGTAAAAATGCGTCGCGTTCGCGGACAGCCAAGCAATCTTCTCGATCTCCGACCGCGACATTCGATCAACAGAGTCCAAGCAATATCTAACGAACCGTTTATTTATCAATAAACTACGACCCCTTTATTCTTTATGTTTATTACTCTGAGATCCCCCTATACGGAATTATTGGTACACCGCGACATTCGATCATTGGTAGCGGAATTAAAAATTAATGCATTGTTATATCAAAAGAATGATGCAAAGATGTGTTTGAACGCAATAAAGACATACGTTCAAATAACATTTTTTATTTTCGTTTAAAATTGAAAACTATGGGTTTGTCGTAAGGTTTCTATACGATAAGAATGTCTGTGGCGTTACTTGTAGAAATTTCGTCCGCCACAGGCCACTTATTTTCGTCGTTTTGATTGGAAAAATAAAGAGGAACGTAGTGGAACGTAGATTCCCCCGTAGTAGCCGGCTGGATGCACGGTACGTGCAGCAAGGTACACCGTACTTTCATAATGTCGAAGGAGTACAGGGGACCAGAGGCCTGTGGCACTCGACGGACGGCTAGTGAAGGGAACGGATCGTCATTCTCGGTCGATACTCGACCAAACGGTTATCGAAAATGCCGTCCGGAAGTCGCGCCTAACGATCTCTCGAACCGAGTTTTTCCGCGAATCGGAGTTACAGTGATTTTCGAACAAGCAACCCGGAGGAACGACTTCGAGGGCAGCGCGGATAAGAGAATTGGAACCTAAAAATCATGAGGAACCGGAAAGGGTGTTGCGATCGAACGTGGAACATCGCGAACGATCGCGCGTAGTGCGAACGGATTTAACGAAACCATGAAAGGACGATCTCTCGTTGCCTCGAGCGCATACGGTGACCGAAAACTCGCTCGGTGAACGGTGAGGACACTTCTTGACCTTCCTTGGATCGAGCCTTGGCGAATATTTCGTATCGAATTCGAGACACGAGTAACATTCAGCCGCCGAGGCGGGTTTTCATCGGCGTCGTGCGCCGAACAAAGAAACTTCTCGTGAAAGTTACCGAGGTGCGCGATAAACAGTGTTCTCCGGCAGCGGGTACGCGCGAAGCGAATGATCGCGAACAAAGTTGGTGTATTTTCGATGTGATCCCGCCTATCTTCGAGTGCAAACAACGACATATCGAGGATGACGCGAGAGATTCTGTTATCCCTCCTGGGGATCCTCGTCGTGGGCGCAGAAGGCACGTATCTTTAAACCATTTCACCGATCGACGGCCACGACTGGTCGCCCGACGCGTTTCGAAGCCACGCTTTGCTGCTCGAAATTTTTCTAGGACCTCGCCGGCATTCCAAACGCGTCGTATACGATTCTGAAAGCGGGCGAAATGTCGCAAAGTATCGAAACGCGAATATCCTCACCCAGGAAGCGAGTATCGAGCAACCGATTTCGCTAAATATAAATCGCTGGATGGATTCGCCGCGCGAATTTCCAAGCCCGTTAAACCGCGCAGACCGACGCGAATTTTAAAATCCAACGCTCGGTGTACTTTCCATCTGTTCTCCGGTAGTGTTCCCGGCACTAAGGAAAGGAATATAACCGCGCAAAACAGGTACCGCCCACTCGGTTCTCGTCCACGCGGATTTTCTGGTGTCTCGAGGTCACCCGGTGTATCCGCTTCGAACGAAACGCACAGGTTCTTGTCGCTTTGTGTTTTATTCGCCCGAAACCTTGCGAATTCCATATCGTTTCGCCGGTTATTTCCATCCAAGGATAGTCAACGATTAAAATAAGCCACGATTCGGCGGATCGGCGAACCGTGCAGACCGGAAACGGGGGGCGAATTTTGCGCTCGCCTTTACAACGGCGCTGCTCCAATTTCGCGCTTCCCCCGGCCGACATTCTTTTTATTCCGTCGCGCGTTTAATTTGAATAAAACTGGTCTCGCGCGATGCAGGAAGCAGTACTCGAGGCTGTCGAACGAAGCAAGTTTCGCCTTTTGTAACTCTTATTCTCGTAGTTGACCTACATGGAACGCCCCGATAGCGCAAACACTGAGCATTTATGCGCGCGCGCATTAACGCCCGTAATAATATCTTCGGCGGCAATTTCAGAAAAGCTGCCCGAGGATACGTTGGTCGTCATTATCTTGGCGAAAAAAAAGAAAAGAACACGTGCTCCGACGGCGATAACTTTCTTCGACGGCGATGTTTATTCCTTATTGGTCGTTGGTTTGCCCGCGCCACGTGTCCGAGGCACTTTCGATTCGGCTCCGTGCTCTCGAACGAATTAAACGTTTCGATAAAAATTTACCAAACGCGCCGCGGAGCGATTTACGTCATCGACGCATAAACGACAGACCTTTCCTTGGTGACTATCGTACTTGACGCTCGCTTCGACTTTCATTTGCCAAGAGGAAAAACGCGTAGGAAGGGCATATCTTTGGTGCAAGAATAGTCGCTGCTCGAAAATAGTACCTTTGTCGATTACGATTACGCAACTGTGGTGTATTTGCGGGGAAATCCTATGAAAAAGCACTCTTTTTTAGATCGAACCTTAATCGATGATTTCGATGCCCTTGGTACAATAGTCAACCAAGTTCTAAAAATATGTAATAGCATATACTTGAAATGTAGTTGAGAATTACTGGTATGGATGGAGGTTTCCTCGCTAGACTGCACTAACCGCTAAACTGTTCGGTAAGAATTTTTCTAACAGATCTTGCATAAAACGCGACTCGACGTTGAAAGGTTATTTGAATATGAATACGCATGGAAATGTTAACCGTTCCGAAATATTCGTCACTCTTAACGAATTTGGATGGCCTCTACCGTTACTCGAACAAGTTCAACGACAGGAGACTCGTTAAAACGGTCAAAGATCTCGAGATTCTTCTAATTCTAAAAAACACAGAATTTCTCCTAGTACATGGCTCGTCGATAGGATCGTTGTTGCTACATTATACGGAATTTAAACGACGACTCGCTCTACCTCGTCCATCGACGTGAATTGATCTCGAAGAACATTTAGATCTTTATTATTTATTTATTCACGAGATTAACACTAGAACTACCAAACCAGTCAAAATGACCCATTAGTAATTTCTAATAAAACCTGTAAAAAATTTAATCGACCGAATTTTTGATAAGAGAATGAATAAACACTTATTTCCATTGCATTATACATTTCTTCAGGCACCTATCGTTTCAGTTTCCTTGGTACAAATAAACACACTATAATAGGAGATAGTTACGTAAGAAAGATACAAGAGATTTACAATGGAAAGGTACTTACGCGCATTCCCTTCGGACAAGCGAGTAAATAAAAGTGGGAGAGTCCAGTTCGCACGCTTCCGACCGATCCGATAGATCGTTGGGAGATAGAAGGATAGGGTGATAGGTCGATTAACAGATCGGCCAGTCGATGGCCAGCGTAACGCGTCGAAGGCGTCGAAGCTCGCGTTAAGGTGGGGAAGTAAAAGCGTCCTCGAGAATTCCAGGCGAACGATTTTCTTTCGTTCCCGCGAAAGAGGAAGCGTGTCGAATGCGGAGCGGACTCGAGCACGACTCGCGTCTGAGACAGTCGTAACATTTAGCCGGCTTGGCTACTTAGCTCTGGCTAGACTCGCGATAACCTATGACTGGTTAAACGCACCCCGCGCGTGGGTGGGGCCCTAGACGATCGACGCAGGTGAAATTTCGACCGAGACCGATTCGACGCCACTTCCTTCGATCCGTGATCACTATGCACGACCGATCGCGCGTATTTTGGTCGTGGCCGGCCGCACCGGGCGCAATTCGACGCTACCGACGGTTACACAATCGCCAACGTTTGCTAGAACGTTCTCGAGGGTTTCGCGTGTCGCGTACGGGACACGGGAAACGCAAATCTTGAAACTCTCGCGCTCGAGAAATTTTTTATCGACGATATCGATTGCAAATTCGCGAAGCCTCCAGAACCAAACGATTTCTATATGAGAAAGATTCTAAATAAATCGTACCGAGAGTTTTGAACGATCCTGTAGATTCGCAAGGCTATTACGCGAAAGTACACCTTTCGCGGTAAGGTTTTCATTTCCCGACGCGTTGGCAAGGTGTCGCAAGTCATCGTCGATCGCGACGACACACGCACCGCGTGCTCTCTTTCCTGCAACGTACAATAGATTAGGAAACGCGTGAACGAAACTCTCTACCGTTTCCCTAGCCGATACGACCAACGACCCGATGCTTCGTTACGATAACGCCGGTCGATCTCAAATTGCCGGGTCGATCGACACGAATTCCGGAGGTGGCAGCGCGCCTTCCGCGACGGATTCCTCTTCGTAGAACCGAATAACGACCGTTAACCGGTTTCCCGATGCCCCGCCGATGCTCCATACTCGCGAGACGGTAGTAAAATTCCCTCTCGGTACGTTCTGTTTACGTAAACGCGATAACACGTAATATCTGTCGTTACGATCTCGTATTTTCGCCTTTCTTCCCGATCAGGCTGGAACTCGGTACCTTTTTTGCTCGAGAAGTATGGGACTCGATCCTAATATCAGGATCGACGAAGGGAAAAATCTGAACCGAATCTGTTTCTCGATAGCATCGTGCTGTATCCTTGACGATCGATCTCTCTTTTTTTTTCGCGAGATAGATCGCAAGCAGGCACGCCCACTTTCCAACTTCCTGACAATCGCTTTTGTACGTACAATATTACACCGGGCTCGTTCGTACGATGCAGAACGAGAACGCGTGTTCGCGATCACCGTGCGATCGTGTACACACGGACACAATTATTGCAAAAGATTCGCGTGGAGCGAACCATTCTATTTTCGATACTCCTTCTAATGCTACGGGTCAACCGATCGAAAGTATAGCGACGCTTCTTTGCCGCAAGACCAAATCCCATCGTTAGAAACACTATTCGGTGTCTCTTTTCCTGTATTCGAACGCTCTCTCGTTTTTCCAACGCGTGATTTCTAATTTATTCTCTTTTTCTCTTTCTTTCTCTCTTTGCTCCGGGGTCACTGACACCTGTTGTTCCCCGCATCAAAGAGTTTACACGGTAAATAAATAAAGCAACACGGGGACAACTAAATACCTGCGAGCAGGTCTGAAGGCTCGAAAGCAACGAAAGATAATTTCAGATATTTGGAGAGAGAGTTACCGGTAACAGTATGCGTTCAAGTATATAAGAAACGTAAAACGTTTCCGAGCAGACATGCGCTCGTAAGAAAGCCGACTAATTGTGTTTCTACGCCGTTCGAGGCGCGGGGCAATTTAAACTATAGCGCAGTTATTTACAAAAGGAGGAGGAAAAAGTCATTTAGTGCGCGGGGAATGCGCGAGCCGTCCATTCGTCGGCCGATTCGAACGTCGATAAAGGAAAATGGCGATAAACCAAGAACTGTACCGTGACACGCTTCACCGGTAGTAGTCTCGACCCGAAGTAGCACCATGTCGTACCGTTATTTCGGCTTTAAAGTTTTGTAACCGCGTGACCCAGACCCACGAAGCGATCGGCGAATGCCAAACACTCGCCACTAAACCTAGTAACGTTACATGCTCACTCGCGCGGAACATAGACGATTAATTAACTTTGGAATTCGCGTCCTGTTCCTCTCAACGGACTCTCCATCCGCGAAAGCTGTTCGTCTTTTTCGAGAACATTAGACCGTGATCCAAACAGACCGGCGTACACGTAGACGTAGCGATAAAATGAATTATCGTTCTCTTAAGAGATCGATTTGCTCGGAGGGTTCGGTGGAGCAAACGAACGCGTCGTCGAGTCGAAAGTTGTTAAAAATAACTTTCTCGCAAATAATTAAAGGAGCGAATGTTTAAGGACGGTGAAACGGTACTAATTACACGGAAAATGAGCCGCGGAAGAAGCGGTTGAACGCACTCCGAAGAGTCGCGGTTTCGATTCGAAATAATACGTACGCGCGCGAACGCGTTTGTATTCGTTTTAATTAACTCGTTCGCACGAAACGGTAGCTCCGTGTCCCACGAGAAACGGGGTCTACGCCGAGAGTTCGAACCGTCTAAAGAGACAACGGAGGCTTTCACCCCCCGTCGGTCGATGCTCGACGACTCTCCTATTTAAATTAACCGAGTTCCCTCGGCTACGCCGGATCCGAAAGAATCAACGCCGAGAAGAGAATGCAAATTAGAATCGTTAACGACCGTCGACTCGAAAATCAAAGGCCATCTACGCGCGATCCGGCCTTCGAGCATCAACGGAAACGCTATTCCGCGAGTCGCGCGCGGCTGCGCTTCTCTAATCGCTTTTACGATCTTATCGCCTGTTGCTGCGATACTCGATAACTCGTTCTACTCTCGACAGACGCCATTTTCTATTTTATTCCTGAATATTACGTAAAAAAAAAATCGATCTTATGGGGATTCCTCCAAGAATCGAAAGAGAAACGGACGAACGCGGGGATGTTTCTCGGCCGTTACCACGCTCTCGCTAGATTACTCTTGAGCAAATTACAGAGGGCACGTGCTCGTACATGCTCGTCGATTTCCATCGGCTTCCAACCGCTGCATCGGTCTTTTCACTCCGAGAAAAAGTTTCTCAGGCTGCATACGGTTAACTCGCCGATACCCGTTCCGTGGGCTCGGAACCATCCATAACTTTATGGCTCCGTGGCTATCTTAATGCTTGACCTAGTAATTTCGAACCTTTCGCGGACGATAGAAGACCCGTGATTGTACAACTAATTTCCCGTGGCGCAGAATTCGAATAATGGAGTACGCGTGGGATTTCATCCAAGGTTTCTCTTCGCCAAGTGTCGCGGCTATTGTTCCATTTACTTTTATATCAATCTATGGACAAAAGTCTCGCAAACTTCTACTATCGTACCCTTGACATCTCTTTTACAGTCAACGACAGCCACGCGTTTACGAAACAACAGACACGATACATTAAATGGGAAAAGAAAAGTTCCTTCAGCCTTCTAGAATTTAGCTAATTTCTCGCCTCTATTGCTACACGCCTAATTGCTGACAGGATAACCGTTTCTGCGAAAACGCTTGACCCTAAGACGCCTTTTCGACTGACCCCTTCTCTTTACAGAATTAATTCTTGTGGTGTTGAAACGTCAGTTTTAGCGGCGAACGGTAAAATCTCCGAGAAACGTTCGACGTACCATTTAAATATCGCCGCAATTCCGAACGATCTAGCGGTTAATGAATCTATTCGCTTCCAAGAAAACGCTACCGAGCAATTTTCTTAAACGCAGGGTTGAAGTGCGGTCACCCAGCGGTACCGATGAACGCCAAAGTGTCGTTGTCCGACGAATCCTTGCAAACCGGTGCTCTGGCGACGTACACGTGCGACACCGGATACGAATTATTTGGGTAAGTTCAATCAACGATTCGAAAAGAAATTGGCTCGTTACGGGAACGTCGAGCGCCGTTAGTTGCTCCTGTCTCGTAATTTACCGACAAAGTCAACGCGTGAGTTTAGTGTGGTATTTTTTTTCTTTTTTTCGGGACACGTACGGGCACGCAAGAGTCGCAACCGAGCGAAACGACAGTTTGTGTAACACGATAGTGGTCGATACCACCGATCATTACGGACTTTCTCCGTTTTCTTGTAATTCGTATGATCGAGGATATTTGTTCGCGTGTCCACGTTCCCGTTCCTTCGTCGCGCATCGTTTACAGCGTACCGAAGAAGAATTTCGATTATTTTATCCGGCAATTGGTTGTTTAGCAGCGGCAGCCTGACGTGCAACGCTCGAGGGAAATGGCAGGGGGATCTACCATTCTGCGGTAAGCGATTCTTCCGTCAACGAAATCCAACCGTTTCTGGATTTTTCCCTCCTTATTGTAATTCCTCCGTCGCGCGCAGCCGCGTTAGATCGCTCGTCTTCCTTGACAACGAGATCGTCCGCGGCTTTCTCCTCGATGCTCGTCGTGGCTCTGCTCGCGACAGAGCACCGCGTTTCGCGAACCAAGGAATCGAACTCTTCCCTCTTAAAATGCAACACGTTCGGTAGAAAGCGATTTTGCGAAACTCGCCGACCTCTGCTCTCGATATCAGCCACGGTTTTCATTACCGATGCGTCTCTTTACTTTCACTTTTATTTTAGTGATTGCCAGTCAGGCTCACAGCCGATAACCAAAAACTACGATACAAATTGATAATCGTTCTTGCAATTGTTTCGACGTGTACGGGATAGAGGATAATCGTTCCTGTTTGTTACTAAACGCGTCCTGTCCGTAATGGACGTTTTGTTACTCGGTAGCGGTCGGTTCCGGACAATTTGTTTCGCAACGGTCTAATTGGGAGCAGGAATTCCTCTAAAGACATTTTGTGATAATGTATACGCCGCTACAGGTACGAACGTCGCGTTTCGCAAACCGACGAATCAGTCGACGACCGTGCGAGGCGGAGACGCCGGGCACGGGAACGACGGCGACTCCAGCACGGAGCATGACGGGAAAAGGTGCACGGAGACGCAAAGCGAGCCCAGCCCTTGGTGGAGCGTCGACCTTCTCAAGTCGTACTCGGTAAAGGTCGTTCGAGTAACGACCAGGGGATGCTGCGGTAAATTTCTAGGCTTTTAACCTTCCTAAATTCACCTAAATACACCGGAAGTTGAAATTGCAAAGCTCGAATCGTTCTCGACAGGCCACCAGCCCCTGCAGGACATCGAGATACGCGTGGGCAACAGCAGCGTGGAACTGCAACGGAACCCTTTGTGCGCCTGGTTCCCGGGCACGATCGGTAAGCGCTCGAAAACCGATTGAAACGTATGATCCTAAACCGTATCCCGATGGTCGATCGATCGATTCGTTACAGAGGAAGGAATCACGAAGACTTTCGTGTGCGCCAGAGCCCTGGTCGGCCAGTACGTGTACCTGCAGCTGGTGGGCGTCGAGGGGAGCTTGAGCCTCTGCGAGGTGGAGGTGTTCGCCGTTGACGGTAAGTCGAGGGTTCAAGAGTGCGAGCGACCGCTGTCAAGCCTGTCAAATAAAATTCCTGTAGAATAGTTCTACCCTGAATTTCCGCAGAGTTCTCGACGGACAGGTGCGCCTACGCCGGGACGCCGGCCGACGCCGACTTGGCCGCCTTCAATTCCACCTGTTACGAGTTCGTCGTGAAAAAAGGGGGCTCCTTTCAAGAAGCCAGAAACTACTGTCGCGCGAGAGGCGGTGACCTCGTGCACGGCTTCAAGGTATCCACCAGCCTTTTTATCCATACCTTCGACAGCTGCGCGAACCCCGCCTGACTCGACAGGAAACCACTTCCGTCGAACATCCTTCGAAGTAGTCTCTGACACAGCAACTTAACCCTTCGGTGGATTATCGGGGCCCTCTGCAAATTTAAAATAATAATTGTTTTTTTATGGGTCGATGTAGTTATTTGAAAATTTAATTCAAGTAAAATAATTCAGTCGAGATCGAGAGTTCACTCAAGAATCAATGTCGTCGCGTTCGATTCTTGTGTAATCGTTGTATTTTTTTGTAAACCGCAGGGCGTGTCGGCGATATACATACTGAACAATCTCGAAAGGCGAAAGGAGAAGCTGAAGACGCAGCTAGTTTGGATAGGGGCGCAAAAGGAGCCTCTGATCACGGCGCGAACGTGGCGATGGGTCGACGGTGAGTGTTTCGCGGCGACAGTTCCCTGAAAAAGACCTTTTTCCCTTCTCACGATCCATCGACAGCCGTCCATGGGAATCGGGTCTGGAAGCGATAGTTGGGCAACGCTGATCGAGATTCGTCGACCCGGGAGGATCAATTTGTCCGGCAATTACGGTGTAATTATAGTTCCGTCTGCCGTTCGAAGTCGTTTTAATCGGAACCGTTTTGAAATACCATCCTCCCCCCCGACCAGACCGCGTCGAGGTCTGCGAAATCGAAGATCGACTCGACGTTGCCCGACTGTCGGCGCAATCGCACACGCTAATAAATAGAACGTGAAAGTTACCACTGTGTGGAAATCAACGGGAAGTTACACCCGTGAGCGTCTGCTCGAACGTATAATCTCTGATAATTGTTTGTTGCGTCTGGATCGAACGGATGCTTTCCAATGAATGCGACTCGATATAAAACGCGGATGAATCTTCCGCCTATGTTTAGAGTATAAAGTACTCTGTTCTGACGCATCTTCCTGAATTTCTTTGCTAATTCAATCTGTTGTCAGCTCGTATACATTATATTCCCACAGTTCCTTCCTTCTATTTATAGTAAAAGTCCACGCGTGCGTTTTCCTTGGATTATTTTAGGCGAGATCGTGCAAAAGCCTTCCTGGGGAAAGGATCAGCCGAACAATTATAACGGCGAGCAAAATTGCGTGGTACTGGACGGTGGTCGCAACTGGCTATGGAACGACGTGGGTTGCAATCTCGACTACCTGCACTGGATTTGTCAAAGCAGTGAGTGAAAGCAATTCCACGCGATGAGGCAAAAATAATAGCTAAAACATTTGGAGAAAAAGAATACGTGTTTGACGGACGACGCTTTTTCCAGGACCGCCTACTTGCGGCAGCCCGGAGAAGTCTGAGAATGCGACGATAATAGGCACGAAGAGGACCATTGGATCCACGATAGACTACGTTTGCCCTGACGGATACATGCTGATTGGCTCGAAGAGCAGAACCTGCGAAGCTAGCGGCTTTTGGAACGGGGCATCGCCCACGTGCAAATGTAAGACTAACTCTCGCGTCGCCCACGAACTATCTTATTCGTCTTAAAGAAACTGATATTCCAAAAGGTTGTTACTTATTAATTTCTGTGTTTAACCCTTCACAGTCGTGGACTGTGGCCCCCTGCCGGAGCTGGTGAACGGAGCGATCACGTTGGTCGACAAAAGAACGACTCACGGAGCGCTGGCCGATTACGCCTGCAAGGAAAATTACACGCTGCTCGGCGACGTCAGACGCAGATGCGGCGACGGTGGTATTTGGAGTGGACATAAACCTCAATGCTTATGTACGGGAATACGTCTAACGGTATTTGCACGATACGCCAAGTTCTATAGAATTTTACCATTGCTGTTTTACAGTCGACTGGTGCCCGGAACCACCGCAGGTGAACGGAGGAATCGTGACGATTACCGGAAGAAGAGCAGGCTCGACCGCCACCTACTCCTGCCAGAACGGCTTCATTTTGTTCGGAGACAACGTAAGATGCTTCGAAAACAAAATTCTCTCTTATTCGTTATGCTCCACGTATTACTTGTAAAAGTTACCGAACGTTTGCGCAACCCCGTTTCGTTAAACGATTACGAACGGAATATTAAACGACGTTGATCGATTTCGAAAGGTCCTCTCGTGCGACGTCGGCGGTGAATGGTCCGGCAAAGCGCCCCAGTGCAAATTCGTCGACTGCGGGGCACCGGCTCAAATCGAATTCGGCTCCGTGACCTTAATTAACAACACCACCACCGTTAAGAGTCTGGCGGTGTACACGTGCCTGGAGGACTACTGGCTGGTCGGCGAGGCCAGGCAAGAGTGCACCAAGGAAGGAAAATGGAGCCACGACACGCCGTCCTGCGAGCGTAAGCACAATAACGCTCCCACGATGGTGGCACGATACGAATAAAATTTGTTTATGTAACTACGACAGTCTCCTTTTTAATAAAAGTATCGTCCGCCACCATTGTCGTCACACCTGTGAACGCCGACAAATTCTTGAATTAATTTCTCGACGCAGTGATCACTTGCGAGGAGCCCGAAGTGCCGGCCGGAAGTTACGTAGTCGGGTACGATTTGAACGTGCACAGTGCCATCGAGTATCACTGCGAGGCAGGATACCTGCTTCAAGGCGAAGCGAGACACACTTGCGGCAAAGATGGCGAATGGTCGGGCGACGTGCCCAGCTGCGAATGTAAGATCGATTAGGAAATTTCTATCAGCAAATGTTTTATACGATGAAATTACAGACGTGGACTGTGGGAAGGTGCTGCCCGTTTTGAACGGGGCTGTAGAATACGCGAACGGAACTACTCATCTCGGAAGCGAGATCACCTATGGTTGCACGAGGAACTATAGACTGAACGGAGTGTCCAGAAGATACTGTTTAGACAACGGCCAATGGAGCGACGCGACTCCAAAGTGCGAGGGTACGTAAATGTCTGAAACGTTGCGTCTCTTTTCTGATCGCTCGATGAACGATACAGCGTTTTTGTCGCAGAAATCCGATGTCAGGAGCCCGTGTACGCGGAACACGGGATCCTCTCTGTGACCGGGAACGATCGAATGTACGGCAGAACGTTGATCCGTACTGGAACCCCTGAGAATTCCAACACGGGGGCGACGTCGTACAAAATCGGTGCCCTGGCCAAGTATCGATGCGAGAGAGGGTACAAGGTGATCGGCGAGCCTCTGTCCACGTGCGAGGACAACGGAAAGTGGAGCGGCGAGGTTCCACGATGTGTTTGTAAGAAAATTGCAAACTCGCGTTATTAAAACGGCAACGAATTTCGACGTTCGCGGAATTTAATAACACGTTTCCTTTCAGACGTCGATTGCGCCAAGCCGGATCACATTCAACACGGCAAGTACACTCTTACGTCGAACGCGACTTACTACGGAGCCGCTGCACTCTACGAATGCGATGGCAACTTCGAACTGGATGGATTCGCCAGGAGACTGTGTCTCGAGAACGGCACCTGGAGCAGCGACACTCCGATTTGCAAAGGTGATCGCGTCGATAAAAATTTCTATCTCCTGTGGTTATTAACTACTTGCCGTACAATAACGTGTCTGACTCGTCGTCGAGTTTTAGCAGATTAAATCGTACGTCAAGGGGTGAATGTTGTATTTACGTGTAGTTTCTATGCGCAGAAATCAGGTGCAGAGATCCTGAAAAAGAAGGAGTGCTGTCCACGCAAGTATCGACGCACAGCGTCGGTGGTGTGGCTCACTACAGTTGCCCGCGTGGATTCTATATGGAAGGAAACGAAACTAGAATATGCCTGCAAAACGGATCCTGGAGCGGAAGTATGCCCGCTTGTTTCTGTAAGCATACGATCTTTGATCCCCTGAACACAAAGAAGCCATCTTCACTCGATAAAGTAAAATTGAAATTCTTGTTTATCGCGTAGCCGTAGAATGCAAGCATCCGGGACCCATAGAAAACGGAAGGGTGATCGTGGTGAACGGAACCACAACTTATGGCGGGACCGCAGAGTATCATTGCTTACCGCAATACGAGAGAGTCGGTCCGTTTCTAAGAAAATGTTTGGATATCGGGTCGTGGAGCGGTGACGAACCAAAGTGCGAATGTAAGTGGCCTGATTATGATTACTTTACTTTAAAAAGATGTTTACTTTACGAGGCTTGTTTTATTCGCAGTTATGCCAAACGAGGTAGCAGAATCTCAAGGCGTGGGCACCAGCGTTGGCATCGGAGCCGGAGTGATCATATTTATACTAATTGTTCTTGGACTCGTTTACCTAAGACTGTACGTAGCAGTGTTTAAAATTAATTACGTCGAACGGAACGAAGACTTTCGATACGAAAACTGGTTATTTCAGGAGAAAAGCCACCCCGGTAAAGAACACGGAGAACGTGCAAGCGGCTGAAAGAAAAGAGGACCAAAGCGCAGCAGTGATGTCTTACGCCACGCTCAACGACGGAACACCTAACACTATGTACGAAAATGTTCCAGAAGATGGTCTTTACGACAGTCCGTACAGCATAAGCGGCAGTACTTACGGGTAAATTAAAGATAATTAACTGGTAACAAACAAATCTGATGAATCGTTTTTTGTTGTTAAAGGTACGGGAACAACGTGAGGAGACATTACGGTAGATCAGGACACTACGAAGCGGAACCGGTTTCAAATAGAAACGGCATCACCATTAACGGGGTGTCTGTACGATAGTTCGATATCGACAAGTTAGAATCGAGTCTTTTAAAATCAGGTATTATTTATGTACAGGATAGAAAAGTAGGAAGATACCGATACGCGGAACATTGTTGTCTTTATTTATGTTATTATGTTCGGCGCATCGCCGATTTATGTAAATAAGTAAAGAGGAGAAACGCGACAACTGCGTGCCCGTAAAGAATTCGCGTCTGTGTGTTTATAGGTCAACGACATACGCGTTACATTAACGACCGTGAACGATTATCTATTACCCCGTTTCGTACGCATTCGAAATTATTCGATACTTCAATCCATGTACCATTATGTATATAGAATATTATCAGTAATTTAGAAGTATTATCTGTAAATCTCAAGCAACGCACTTGTACCATAAATTCGTACGTTCGTTGGTTGGCAAATAAAGAAACCAATGGTCTTGTTTTATTTTACATTACGCTGGACGCTCTTCCATGGAATCCAACGTTTCCTTTTACTTTTCTCAAGTTCGATAAAAATATATCTCTCGCTGTTATTCTGCCTACAGAGTATTACCGCGAACGCTATTACGACACGAGAAATAACTATATTGGGCACTCTCACATCCTTATAAGGCAATGATTTCTCTGTCGGTAGCTTGCTCCAATTATGGTACCTACAGTGACGTCTCCTTTAGAGGGTGGATCGTGCGGTCTGCGTAATACAGAGCGCCAAAGTTTTAATAAATATCATTAAATGGGAAAAATTTAAGTAATTTAGACGCTTATAAAATAATTAAATAATCCCGTGGAACACAACGGATCTAAATATAATTGCTATTAACACGAAAACTATACGAGGAAACTTTAAAAAAAGATTGCTATTCGCCTTTTGAAATCATGGTTTCTAATTTCATCTGACCAAACTTGAATATCGAATAGAGGATCGGTATAAATCGAACCGTTATTTTTCCTCGTAGCAATGCGCCCTAATTTTTTGGGTATGCCTAGAAAAGGCTTGTGCAATGGATAGGCCAGAGACTCTCAATCATTTTACACGCAGATTCCTTTTAAAATATGATTATATCGTCGATCCCTGTCCAAATTAATATAAAAATAAGATACGTAAAAAATAATACGCGGCAGAAAATTAAAATTGATATTAGAATTACAAATAATAATCGGTGAAACAAAAAATTAAAATATAAATTACCGATACCAATTTTCTGCTTGCATCGTTAAAATTTTGAAGTATAACTGTTTTCGTTATACATTATTATCTTTGTAATATACATAAATGTATTGTATATATTGAATAAGATTGTTCATTGGTCCTAAACAACCCTAAACCCCTAGTATATTATCGAGTTAGTATTTTATAGACTCTACGGGGTTTGCTATCGTTCAAGTTGAGAATCCCGGAGACACATAATCCTTGAACAGATGTCGCTACGAGTCCGGGTGTGGTGAATAACCATACTGTGACGCGTAACGTGAGTCACAGTGCTGCACGAGATTCTGTACCGTGCTGTTTTTCGTTAATAATTTATCGTTAAGAAGCTTGTGTTAATCAGGTTGGTGAAAATTTGTTGACTTATTTTAACGCTCCACCATGAAAGATTCCAGTTATCGATCAGCCTGACCGAACGTATTCTGAACGGTGTGAAATACTTGACAGCAATCTAGCATGGTGAAGCGGCCATTGTGTTTATCGCGATCCGAATGTGCATACATTTCTGGTTATTACCCTCGCTTTAATGGATCCAAGTCGAATTTAACACTCACGTTCGATGGAATTTGCGATTCGATGACTTTACACTGTCGCTAAGCGTCTTGTAAAAAAACCATTGCCGGTAGTCAAATATAGCCTGTACCAATATAGCCGGGTGAAAATTTTGAGACAAAGAGCTATAAAGTAAAATTAGAAAGTAAAAAGGTTACATCCAACAATGAATTAATTAATCCAGGCAAGATTAGGAATTGTACAAAAAATGTGTGATACGTTGTACTATTATTGACATAAAAATTAATGTGCATGTCAAAAAGTGTAGTACAAATTTCAATGTTTCACTAAAATTTTTGGACATCGATGAACGGTCTCCCTCGAGTAACGAAGAAGATAATCTTGTTTTTATTTTAATTTTGTATAACCTTTTTTTCTCTCTTTTTTTGTCATCCTTGAAAGTAAAAATGCCTCAAAACATCGAAAAAACGTTAACAAAGTAAAATAAATATTTCGCACGTACTAGAACAATTTAAAATTGGTTAAACAAAGCGAGCTGTATCTTTATTTATAATTTCAGGGATACCAACATGTCGTCTCGCAAAACAGCCGGACGTCGCGCGACAACAAAGAAACGCGCGCAGCGTGCAACATCGAACGTTTTTGCAATGTTCGATCAAGCACAAATTGCTGAATTCAAAGAAGCTTTTAACATGATCGATCAGAATCACGATGGTTTCATCGATAAGGAAGATCTTCACGATATGCTTGCTTCTTTAGGTAAGATTCTTAAAATTAAAAATTAGCTAACGATTTATGATATTTAATGTTTATATCAAATATAAATTTTATATATAAATTTTAGGCAAAAACCCTACCGACGATTATCTAGAAGGCATGATGAACGAGGCTCCAGGACCAATTAATTTTACAATGTTCTTAACTCTATTCGGTGAAAGACTTCAAGGGACAGATCCGGAAGACGTAATTAAAAACGCTTTCGGTTGTTTCGACGAAGAAAATAGCGGCCATATAAACGAAGAACGTCTTCGTGAGTTGCTCACGACAATGGGAGACAGGTAACTTCGTATAAATTGTGAAATTTAATCCTCGAACAGCTGGCCCTGGATCCATTTTGACTCAAATCTGAATTCTATCATTTTGTATTCCAGTACAAGGTTTTGATTGAACTTTTCCATTGTATTCGTGAATTCTTTATTTATTAAGAACCAACATTTCACTATTTTGGAAGAAATAGTTTGTGTGGATTCGAATGAACCTTGGAGTTTACTAGACGAGGATTAATGGTGTGCAAGACAAACGGAATAACAAACTTATTTTCATTTTTTATTTTTCAAGATTCACGGATGACGACGTGGATGAAATGTATCGCGAAGCGCCTATCAAAGGATCTATGTTCGATTATATTGAATTCACGCGAATTCTAAAACACGGAGCTAAGGACAAGGACGAGCAGTGAGCAAACGTGGCATTATCTGTATTTCTTATTTGTGTGATTGAGCACATAACGTGCTTTTTATATGGTTGCAATTGTAAAGTTTGATATATTAATTGTATTTTATACATGCTCTATTAATGAGAATAGCTGAAAACCTAGGGTTTATATTATTCTTCGAAAAACTGCCTTATCTCTAGGTCCTAAAGTATGTAGATCTCAAATCGCACAATCCTCTATCTTTATGTTATTTATTTGATCATGTAATGAGTCTATTATAAGATTTGCGAAAGAAAATAGTAATGAAAATTTGATCTATGTCTGACCACGAGTTATAATCATTGTGAACTCGATAAAATTGGTAAAAATATGTATTGTACATTATATGCTACATTGATGTGTAGTTGTTAACAAAAATTTGCATTTATATTTTAATATAATAATGGATTGTATATCGAAAACGTGGCGTTTATCTTTTCATCCACTCTATTCGATATTTATAGAATTTGACGAAAATAAAAGTTAATTTTTCAATTAAAAGTTTCCAGCACGTTGTAAATCCTATTTAATATCAAAATGAATACTTTATTGGTGATATATTATTACAATATTCAGAGGAAAATCACTGCAAAAAGAATGGTCGTGCAAACATTTTTGAAGATTCGATACCAAAACCGAAAATAAGTTCTACTGTACATTTTCAATTCAATTGTTCGTGAAAAATTCTTGTAATATTCGTATTTTACTCCAAACTAACCTTCAATTGGTGACTTGATATCGGAGTAACATCGCATGTCTAAGGCAATTGTGAATACTCGTACATCCGATTGAATATTTGCATCACTTGTTCACAATTTTAGAAAATATTACATTATTATAACACACTAAATAAAACATAATTGTATATATGAAATCAACCACTACTTCGAAATTGTTAGATGTATAAAATTGGCGGGACGTTACAGGAAGTAACAACTTGATTAATACTTTCGTCATACTTAATACAAATTTATTTAAAGTTAAACAATTTTCAAATGTATTTAAAAATAACAGGAAGTTTTATGGACAATATAATTTCATAACTTTTTCGTTATAAACTCTGATGAAAGTTTATTAGTTGACTCATTGACTACCATCCCGAGCTTCCTGTCTAAGGATATTCTTAACATTTTTCCAAATTATAGTGTAATAGATAGAAATGTTCGATAGTTCAAGTACTTGTTATTTTATTGTATTCCTAATATCAATGACAATCTCCAAATATTTACAAGTATTATATTCATTTGTTACAAGTGTTGAATTTGGAGTGACGGTCACCGGTGACCACCATGGCAGTCGTGTTAAAGTGACCGTAGTTTCATGGCGAATGAAATAATTGTTTTCCGACTATTAGAAATGTGTAAGAGATTCCGTACAAATTAGACATTAATATAAATATTCCGGTACATTAGGCTAGAATTTAGAAAGTGTGTCGTGATACAGATCGATCATTTCATTATCTCGGATGGAAAATTGTTTACAAAACGAAATAACCGTGAGAAAAGATATTATTTCGAAAATGGCCAGATCCGAGTGACAGAGCCACGTTCGTTCTGCGTCTGCGCGTCTGCGTTTATGTACAGTATGCACAGAATAGTCTCGCGAAGCCGCAGTATCATTTCCACTGGTAGCAGAGTGGGGTGTGCTTCGTCTCTCGATTTTCTCGGTCCTGTCGCTTACGGTGGCTTTCCCTGTCGCGTCCTTTCGCTCGGTGGTTGTTTCGTTCCAGTAAATACATCGTCGATGGACTAACGTAAAGAATACGCGCGGTTCGTAGTGTGTCCAGGAGCATCGGCTCTCGCCGATCTCCTCGCGGATGGGATTAAAATTGACGATCGTCGTCCGATCACGAATTGTCGCTCGATGATCCACCGCGACTCGTCGGCTCGCGGTGTGTTTACCAGTTCGATGGATGTTACCAGAGTGAGTCACGGTGTCTCGTGCGAGTCTCGTCGTTCGTACGTATCAGTGAATTTCCCTCGAACATCGAAAGCATCGAAAGATTGAGAAAGAATGAGACGAGGGACAGAGGCAGAAGCAGAAGCTGCCAGCCGCGAATTGGGTTACGTCCCGTTCGCCTGGCAACGATATATGACGCAACGGCCACCCTTCGCAAGTACCGACGATCCTCGTAATCTTTACATGCCGCTGTAACTGCGGCAGGACACTCTGATCGAGACTAGGCGAGTGTCGTGCAGCACAAGACACGCGGAAAGAAAACTCGAAGTGCGTTCCATGCGACCAGATATCCCCCACCGTCGTCCGCGTCCACTCGATTGCGCAGCTAGTTTTGGAGGTTAGCCGATCACGATTGAGAAACCTCAACGAAAGCGACACCCACCGAGCGAGCCAGCCGGATCAGCTGTTTCCCAGGACGACCTTTCGACAACTACCCTAGGTGAGTTATACCCTCTACAAAGCTCGTTATTGTATTCTCGGTCGAATTTCCTGTACCCACAGCTACGTATTGACCTTAAACCTTACGATTGGGGGTTCCCCTCGACGTTTCGAATCGACCGCGCGCAATTTTCTTCCGATATTTTCGAGCATATATTTTTACACGATCAAGGACACATCAATTTGTCGATATACGATCAAATTAGAGAGTTTTCGATACGGACTCTTTTACGATTGTCACATTTTTAGAATTCACCAATCGTATTGTACAGGTTCCTAAAGGTGTCAACATTTTTCACTAGAATCAGCTCAGCTGTTGCATCGAATGTACGACAATTAAGAATATTAAGCCTTCCTTTCTAGTAATTACAAAATTGTTACAATTTTACGGTGGTATTAATACTTGAAACAATATATACGCGCGGAAGTCGAATGTTGCAAGATGAATCTAAACTTATCGACGGCATCGCGAATGCAAATTCATCTGATCGGTTGTTAGAAGCCAGGGCCGACTCAACGCGCGAGGTCGACAAGAATGATAGAGAAGTTTTTCAATGGAATATGGTATCAGTTTGTTAATAAGGTACATGGACGAACCTGGTACAAAATCGAGGAGTCGCTGGGATTATTGATAGCGAGGATGAACCTGATGCAAAATGTCCATTCTTGTAAATTTTAATAAAACACGAAAAAAATAGAGGAACGAAACCAAAATCAGGTTTGTATAACGACGCATTTCTACGAGCCTTGATTTAAAATTTATTAAGTACCTCGGCATTCCATTAACCGTGTTACAAATAAACAACACTACGGAAACAGTTTTACCGAGTATTCAGTGTGTTCGTATCGTGTAATCTCGTAATGAGTTCGTTATGCTCGTAACGATGTCACAACTCACCGTAGACTGCCCCAACTTATGCGCAGTTATGTATATCTGAAATCGTATATTGTACATTTCTTTTCTTTATTATTCGATTAGATACATACCAGAAGAATATGGTACATTCCATTTGATCTAAATACACCGAAAATTATTATGGACAGAAAAAAACGTATTCGTAATACTACGAAAAATTTACATTTCAGATAAGGTTCCGCTGTCTTTAAACGAGGCATGCATTTAAAGCAGAATACATTAGCGAGAATTGTAAATTATTTCAATATCGAGCAATAGAGTAACGACTACAGTGCATTGCATAACTATTGCAAATAATTTAGAAATTTCAATTTAATTTAATTAACAACACTCTGACAGTTACTGTCACGTGTACATTACTTTGTTAGCCAGTCATCGTTGGCCGCTGTTACGCGTACATGACTCTCCTAGTCAGCCGTTGTCACGTGCACGTGATTTTACTGTTTCATATTTGCCATATTTGCGTTTCATTTTACGTTTCGATGATCAATGTTCTATTGTACTCTGTACGCTGGACAAAAATGTGAAATACTTGAGAAGGAGGATGGTGCACTTGTTGTGCAACGCGCTGTATAGAGGACGTAAACGTATCCAACGCGTGACTATGGATGAGAGCGTTGTCAAAAGGAGCGACACACGCTGTCTTCGCGCGGCTCGGGCACAAAAGAGTCCTTTATTGCGTCGCGATTCTCGAGATGATAATTACTAAAAGGCCGTATTAAGTGAATGGGGCTCGTTCATGCCCCGAAGCGTCCGAACTATCATTTTAACGCCGAAATAGCGTATTCTATGGAAATATTCAGGGATCACGAGTCGCAACGATACGTTTGATCGGATCGCGCGTAAAGAGGTAACCGTGTACTTAGGTTGCGTATACTCGGCGCGTAACGCGATCCGACGCTCGAACCGGTCATATCGCTTTGCTATTGCGTAACCAGCTCGCACGAGTGTGGAAGAATATTAATGCAACAGTGCAACGTGTCTCGGAAGTTAAACAAATTTAATTTGTTTGCTCTTGATTCGGCGAGTTTCCCTTAACGGTACGTTTACTTTCTGCAGTTCACGAGCGATTAACTTTTCCGTAAATCGACTTGGAAAGGTCACGTGAAACTAGTCGGTCGCGCTTAATTGAGAAATTACCCGCTGTAACTTGTTTCTCGCGACGGGCAGACTGAAAAGCGACGATTTTATAAACGAAAAGTAGAGCAGAATCTCGGGCGTGCACAACAGGAAGTCGTCTGAGAGACTCGCATAAAATTACAAAATTAAGCCGACGAGAGCTTTTTATTTTTTTTAACGTCGTACGCCTAGTACTTGGTAAACCAGTTTTCGGTCGAAACGCACAGTGGTGGAAAGCAGTATTACCAGGCTAATTGCATCCGAGTCAGGGACGTCTCTAATACGCAGCCATGTTTTCAAACAGGTTGTTCCAGATACTGCTGGGTAATACGTTAAATCTGTTACGCGATTTCGCGTTCTGTGTCGCGAATCCTCATTTCTTTGCGTGCCACGTTGTTTCCTTTCGCGAGCAGAAGGGAGGGGGGAGCCTAATACGGATAACATCTGCTCGACACGGCTAATAGTTTTATACAATTATCACCTTCTTGCGTAACATAGCTCCGAGTTCGATCGACCGTAATAGTTGTTTCTGCGAACGCGTTTAGGCCACTACAATGCACGGAGAAATATATTGGGTCGAACGGAAACCTATCAGCATTGTTTGTAACTATTTGCAAAGAGATATTTTCCACTTTTTTAAGTAAAAGCGTGCAAACATTCCGGTCGATCCGGTAATTAAAAAGAGGCGGTAGCACGTAGTCGGTGGGGAATCGTTAAAAGACGTTTACTCGCGCGACGAATATCTGGTCGCGTGCTGATCGTGCGAATAGAATTACGAGCATCAACGTGTATGGCAACCGAGAGGCGCGTTATTCGTGAACAAACAACGAGAACCACTCGACGATAATCCTCGATTGATAGAAGCCGGTCCAGCGTGCTCGATCTCGGGTAAATAAGTCTACGATGGGCAATTTTATCCGTGCTGTATCGAAACGATCAATCGCCGCGACGTATAATCATGTTATCTGCGAAAGTACGATTCGTGACTGGCGATACACGGACTTTCGGCCGTTAAAATTATTGCGAAAACCGTGGTGCAACATTCGGACGAAAGTGACCCGAACTACGATCACCTTTGCGCGCAATTCATAAGGAAGGCAGAGGTTTAACGTTTGTGTAAATTATTTTTTCAGAGGAAAAGCCTGACAGTTGGAAGACCGTGGCTGGTTATTTTCCCTTTGCGTTTTCAACTCGACTTCGCCGAAGTGTTAATTACACGGCATTGTCGATTGACGCACACAGACGTAGAAACGCGTGCTCGCGAAAGTCAATTGACATTTTTTCAAGGCCAGCCGACATTCGCACCACGATTATCCCTGACATTTCTCCGGCACTCGTGGAGCACAGCAAGGTATATCGCGATCGTTTGTACAGAGTGGCTGGTTGATAAGTCCTTACTTGTTCGAGGAAAAACCGTGCACTCGAGAATTTCCAAGGCAGCTTTCGAGGCTACGTTAATTATTTTATTTCCACGTATCGATTGCCAAGTGTTGCAATTTTTTCTCGTCGTGCTAATTCAGTCCGGTATGCGCATAGCTGTGCAAATTCTTTCTGCAAAGCGTGTCTCGGATGGACGTGTCTAGCCGTAATAGGAACCGGAGCCAAAATATATCCGGGTCAGCCACTCTAGAGAGCGAGTGGGTTAAAGTTTGGTGTGTCAGGAGGCCGTCTAGACGACATTAGGCGAACGCGAAAGATCGTAGTCCGTGGTGGATGGCTGACCCCGTCTGTGTATCTGGGCTCCGGTTGCTCGCCGAGCAACGGTTGCCGTTGCTGGATAGCAATAAAATGTCGTGAGTTAACAGCGACGGGGGAGCTCTGGGTTTCGATAACGAAAGCGGTGTCGGCGGGCAAGGGATGGGAGAACACCCTACCTCGAGGAGGATGAACGACGCCGATTCCAGCGGGGTTAGGTTTCCCGACGCGCAGGCGTCGTATCGATTTCTTCCTTTGCCTTTGCTTTTACCTTTGCCATGCGTGTACACGCGAAACAGCCAGTCGACCGTCCCACGACCACATTGCCTCTTCTATCTAGGGACGGTCACTATCGCGGGGGATGCACCGCGTTAACCTCGCCAACCTACCGATCGAGGGTAGCTTGCACTCGTCACGAGGTTCCTCCCCCGTCTACCGTTTCACCCTTCGTTCCTCCGATTCTACCAGTCTCGCTTGTAACGTTACAGCCGGGGAGAAAGAATCAGCAAACAATTAATTGCTAAGGGTATCGTCTGTCAAAGGGGAAGAATTTTCGGTTCGAGGCCTCTGCCAAACCGTCTGTCCCCCGTTCTCGTCTCTCTTCGACAATTGCAAAGAAAAACTGTCGACGGTCCATGAAAATTTTTGCACCCGATAGACGAGAACCATAGGACATCGGTATCGTGTCTCTAAAGAGGGTGGCTGTTGCAATACTGACGAGACGAGGCGAAAATTAGTACCGCAAGAGCGTTTAGTTTCGATGCAAAACAAAGCTCCATGAGTAGAAAAATAAAAAGAATAATACCGATAGTTTTCGAGGCAAATACCCCACTGCGCGATGGAGCATTTTAGATCGAGTATCAGACGTTGGAATTATCCGTCAAGGCATGTGGTGGTCCGTTGGCTAATCGAAAGCTTTGATCGTGTTAAATCTCGCCGGGCGGTATTTGTATCGGCGCCTTCTTCCGGTTCGTTAACCGGACGAGTCGAACAAATCGTAGCTTGGCCGCAAATCGTGCCACACCTGTTCGATCGGACGTCGGTTTTTCGAGGGTGCGTAACGACAATGAAATTCGATAGTCTCGGATAACCTATCCGTTGGATCGGTTAGGTTCACGGGTCAGCGACGTCGCGACAATGCCCGAAAGCCGGACAGGGATAGTCGATGAACAGGGAAGTGGAAAGAGGAAGGAAGGGTCGTCACGGGGGAAAGTGTGGCGATCTTTGTGTTAAGTGCTTGAAATTCAATGCATCCTGCCCATCCTGTCTCT